GCGGCCTCTCAGCCCCACTCTGTCCCCAGAGCGCTCCCCGCACCGGCCCATCCTCCAGGCGGGGCTGCCGGCCAACCAGACGGCGGTGCTGGGCAGCGACGTGGAGTTCCACTGCAAGGTGTACAGCGACGCGCAGCCCCACATCCAGTGGCTCAAGCACGTCGAGGTGAATGGCAGCAAAGTCGGGCCCGACGGCACGCCCTACGTCACTGTGCTCAAGGTGGGGGCCGCTCCGGGCTGGGCGACCGCAGGCGGGTGATCTGGGGATTCCTGTGTGGAGCGGGGGTGGGGAGGGCGTCCTAGGCAGGGAGGCCCATTGGGTTAAAGGGACAGGGGGTCCGGCCCACCAGGCCCTGCAGTGAGTTCTATTTCCCTGTCTGCTCTCGGTCGGCCTTGGCCCTGGAGGAGGGCTTGCAGAGGGCCCTCTGAGGTGGGCCCAAGGTCAAGGGCCCCATCCAGGCAGGTGACAGCTGAGCCTGCCCAGACCCTCTGGGTCTGGGAGACTGGGTGGTGCTCCTTGAGATGGCCGGATGGGGCGCCGTCGGCATGTGCGGAGTCGCTGGCCACCCCTGCCCGGCCTGGCCCCTGCGGCCTCGGGGCAGGACAGCCTCAGCCTTGTTCCCAGGCCCCAGAGTGGAGGCCACCGGAGTCGGGATGGTTGCGACACTCGCAGCCCAAAGAGAAACATCTGTTTAGAGACAAGATGGGCCGACCGGGGTGGGGAGCAGGCACGCGTCCAGACCCGACCCAGAGAGGCCGCCAGGCTCGTCGGGCGGTGTGCTGGGCCTGGTCGGCATGTGTGCTCAGCCGGCGGCATCGCGGCAGGCCCCGCCGAGGCTCCAGGGCGGGTGGGCCGAGCGCCAGCCCAGAACGCCTCTTTTAGGAGTGCCCGCCAGGGCCGCGCTCTGGGGTGTGGAAGGTGGGCGCAGAGGGCGCATCCTGTGAAACCACAGTCCTCTGCCGTGAGGTGCCGCCACGCCTCCTCCAGGCAGCCTTCCCGGCTGGCGCAGCCCTGCTCGTTCCTTGGGGGTCTCCCGCTTCCTGTCTTGGAGCCGGGACCTGGGGCCACCCTCGCTGCAGGGTCTGCGCTGGGGCCACTCCGCGCCCGGCAGGGCTGCCACGGGCACGCCTGAGCCGGGTCTCTTGTCCCCGCAGTCCTGGATCAGTGAGAGTGCGGAGGCCGACGCGCGCCTCCGCCTGGCCAATGTGTCCGAGCGTGACGGGGGCGAGTACCTCTGTCGAGCCTCCAATTTCATAGGCGTGTCTGAGAAGGCCTTTTGGCTGCGCGTTCACGGGCCCCGAGCAGGTAACGACTCTGTCCCACGCCTGCCTGGCACGCCGAGCTCCAGCTCTGACGCCCCGGCCACGTGCCGTCCCGCACGCCCCGTCCTGCTCGCTCCCCGCCCCTCGGCTCGCGCTCCGCTCCGTGCGTGGTCGCCTCTGCCATGCCGGCACCTCCGGCCTGCACTGCGACCGCCAGCTTCGGGCCCTGTGGCCTGTGCTGACCCTGCCTGCATCCCACGTCACCCCTAAAAGGCCCTCAGCACGGCAGGGGCCATGCCCCGCTGTGGGCGTCCGCCTTCCGCGCTCCCCGAGCCCGGCCCGCTGCCTTGTCACTTCCCGCCTGCCTGCCTGCCAGCCCGTCCGCCCGCCTGCCTGCCCCCCCCCGTGTTTACGATGACCCTGCATGCTGCGTATGTGCAGCACGCTGCTGGCCGCACGCCGCTGGCCGCACGCTGCTGGCCGCACGCCTGGCGCTCACCTGGGACAGAGGACTCGCCGGTGGAGGGACTGGCTTCGGGCTCAGTGTGGACGCACGAGGCGGAGGACCCTGGCCGCCGTGGCGGTGGTGGTGGTGGTGGCGGCGTTTTCTTTGCAGCCTGGCTGGACCGGCACCACGTGGACTCGGGCCCTGGCGCCTGCGGGCGGTGCTGGCGCCCGCCTACCCGCTCTGTCCTCTCTCGTAGACGGCGGGCGCCAACACCACGGACAAGGAGCTAGAGGTTCTGTCCTTGCGCAATGTCACCTTTGAGGACGCGGGGGAGTACACGTGTCTGGCGGGCAATTCTATCGGGTTTTCCCATCACTCTGCGTGGCTGGTGGTGCTGCCAGGTACTGGCTCCTGCTGCTGCTTGCTGTGCACCTGTCCTCGGGGCTGCTGGCTGGGGACACGCCAAAGCCGCCAGGGACACGGCCGCCCTGTTCCAGACCCCTCACGCCAGCCCCTGTGCCTGGTATGGGAGCAAAGTCAACTCGGCCCTGTCGTGGCCCAAAGGGGCCTCCCTTGACTCCTGCCCCACTCCCAGCTGGGCCCCCACCGGCCTGCGCGGGGCTTTGGCGTCTTCCCAGGTGGCGGGTGCGGGTGCTGCTGACTGTGCTGGGCTCCTTCTCTCCTGGGTCTGCCTTGGGCATTTCTGACCGTAGGACCGTCACCGAGTGACCGAGTGGGGCTCTGAGCCCCCTTCCCTACCCCCACTGCACGTGCAGCCAGGCCAGGCCCCCAACGCCCGTGTCTTTGCAGCTGAGGAGGAGCTGGTGGCGGCCGGTGAGGCTGGCAGCGTGTACGCAGGCGTCCTCAGCTACGGGGTGGGCTTCCTGCTCTTCATCCTGGTGGTGGCCGCCGTGACGCTCTGCCGCCTGCGGAGCCCCCCCAAGAAGGGCCTGGGCTCGCCCACCGTGCACAAGGTCTCCCGCTTCCCGCTCAAGCGACAGGTAACAGAAAGTAGATACCGGGTTCCGAGCTGCCCGTCCGCCTGCCCCGGCCTCCCGGGCCCCCTGTGACCCACCCCGGGCTGCCTGGCTCAGGGACCCTGCTGGGAGGCCTGGGGCCGTCCCCGGAACGCACATCTCCGCAGTGGGTGGGCCGACCCCTCCCCAGCCCTTGTGGTGACCACGTGGAGCAGAAAACACTTAATCTCCACTGAGTGCTCTGCGGAGGTCTGGTCCCGCCGCAGGCACAGCCTCTGCCCTGCCGCCCCTGTGGCGGCACCGCCCCCTTCACCGTGCGGCACCAACCTGCCCCTGCCGACCCAAGCAGGTGTCCTTGGAGTCCAACTCGTCCATGAACTCCAACACGCCGCTGGTGCGCATCGCCAGGCTGTCCTCGGGGGAGGGCCCTGCGCTGGCCAACGTCTCGGAGCTGGAGCTGCCCGCCGACCCCAAGTGGGAGCTGCCCCGGGCCCGGTCAGTGGTGGCGATGGACGTAGTGTGCCGGGGCTGGGCACATACAGGGGGGAGGGCGGCTGCCGCTCAGACACCCCGATCCGGTTCTGGTGAGAATCCGGTTCTGGTGAGAATTGGGCCGCTGGCGGAGGCTGGGCCTCGGGTGGCTGCTCCTGAGGTGGGGACAGAGCACTCTCCTCCAAGTGCTCTGTCTGGAGGGCACAGTAGAGACCAGAGATCCTCCGCATCAAGGTGTGGGGCGAGCGCGGAGGGCTTCTTGGAGGCAGTGGCACCGGGCCACCAAGGCTGCCCGGGGCAGAGCTGTGTGGTGGAAATGCTCATTGGCTCTGCTTCTGCCCCCAGGCTGACCCTAGGCAAGCCTCTCGGGGAGGGCTGCTTCGGCCAGGTGGTCATGGCAGAGGCCATCGGCATCGACAAGGACCGGGCCACTAAGCCCATCACGGTGGCTGTGAAGATGCTGAAAGGTGAGGGAGGCAGGTGGCAAGGGGAAGCCTGGGCCGGGCCGGGCCGGGCCGGGGGACGCGCCGCCTGACGCAGCCCCGTCCCGCACAGACGACGCCACCGACAAAGACCTCTCGGACCTGGTGTCAGAGATGGAGATGATGAAGATGATCGGGAAGCATAA